CATCAAGCTCTGCAGAAGTCTGATAACGATCCTGATCATTTGAATCAGGTGTGTTGGAAGAAGGAAACGTCTAAAACATGCAGGATTGCAGCCCTCGAGGACCGGATGTCGACACCCCTGGTGTAGATGCAGCAGGTGGGTCCCAGGCCTGTGATGAGTGCTGTGGTGTTGATAGAGGTACTGCTATGGCTAAATCCTTTGGTGGGTCTATGACAATCTATGACATTAGAAAGTGCGACTCAGCTCTTATAATTACATTAACAATAATGACATAATTATTCATCAATGTGTGGCGACTCAACACAATGTGTAAAACGCATACAAATACATTATGTGACAACAGTACCAGTGGATCTCCCGGCTGCATAGAGGGCCAGCACCGCCTGCATGGCCACGTAGGTGAAAGGAACATTGAAACACTCGAACATGATCTCCACCATGCGCTGTCGGTTGTCCAGGGGGTTCATGGCTGCCTCGGTCAGCAGAACAGGGTGATCCTCCGGTTCCACGCACAGCTGCTGAAACGTGTGATGCCAAATCTAAAAGTCAAACTGTAAGTTAGTCAAGCTAACAGGCTTATTTACAGTCAAAGCTATAATTTCAGTTCTGCACAAAATTGGGGCCGATATAGTCGTCTCTTAATGTCTCTAAATCTTCCCTCACTTTCCTACATACTAATAAATGAACAAGTGGCCCAATTCCACATTTTCTTGACGTCAAATATGACTGGACTTGACCTCAGAGTCTTTGAAAAAGGAAAGATTTGCAATGTAAGGATCGAAAAAGCGGGGCATTTGATCTGTGGAAGCTGGCTGACTGTCGATAAAGATGGAAAAAGAACAGTGAGAAAGTTACCAAACTTTGTAGTTATACTCCAAACAGCCATGTGTGTGGAAACTGTTTTACCCTACAGTCACCTTCCAGGGCAGCTCTTGTGTCCTCTGGAATGTCCTTTAAGTGTTTGTATCTTTCTGCTGGCTGAGAAATGTGAGCAGCAATAATGTCAATTAGCTGGTATTCACTTAATGAGGACGAATGTCTTGATGCCAGAGTAGAAAATACTAAGATTATGCAGTTTTTAAAGTTGATCATTTTTGTACTAACAGCAAAGCGTGCACTGATACATGCGTTGCAACTACTTAAATGCAAACTAAACTTTATGCAGCAAACAAAGCAAAACAGTTGTCTCAGGGTTTGATACTTCAGTTTCCTTTAAAGACTGCAAGACCACCATTCAAAACTATTAATATGACTTTTATATTTGGGGCAATGAACATTAAAGATTCTAAATTGTCCGTAGGTGTGAATGTAAGTGTGCTTGGTTGTCTGTCTCTAAGTGTAGCCCTGTGATAGACTGGTGACCTGTCCAAGGTGTCCCCTACCCTCGCCCTAAGTCAGCTGGGATAGGCTCCAGCCCCCCTGCGACCCTAGTGAGGATTAAGCGGTGTATAGATAATGGATGGAAGGATGAACATTAAAGAAAATCAGTATAAAAATAAAAGCTGTAAACATGCCAGATTATATCAAAGTTGCCTATTGACACCTTTAGTACCTTGGCTGATAACAAAAACAAAAGTACAATAAGTAACGATATACAGATTTGTGTCTTTTGCATCTGTGCTTAATTTTATTTATTTTTTTCTAGACATTAAAAATGGACTTGGGGCACAAGTAATAAATACTTCATGTCACTCCATGGGAAAAATAGGAAGTCTGAGCCATCACCTGTAATGTAATGTAATGATGATTACGCAAAATGACATTAATGACCATCACAATACCTCAATATCATAGATTAACTTCAGCTACAATGGAGCCCATCTACTAATGCTACATGTATAAAGCCAGCATGGTGGTTCTGAGAGTTTCTTTTTTTTTATTATCATGATTTTTTCTGGCCTTTTTGCCTTTATTGGTTAGGATAGTGAGAGAGAAAGACAGGAAAGGGGGAAGAAGAGGAGGGGGAAGACCTGCAGCAAACTGTCGTGAGCGGGAGTCGAATTCACGACCGCTGCGTCGGGGAACTGAAGCCCCTGTACATGGGTCGCCCGCTCAACCAGGTGAGCTATAGGGGCGTCCGTTTCTGAGAGTTTCAAACAATTAACCAACTCTTACAATCTCAATACTTCAAGCCATTTTTTCACAGACACACTCAGTAGTATACAGAACGTGGACAAAATTGTTGGTACCCCTCGGTTAATGAAAGAAAAACCTACAACAGTCACAGAAATAACTTGAATCTGACAAAAGTAATGATAAATAAAAAAATCTATGAAAATTAACCAATGAAAATCAGACATTGCTTTTGAACCATGGTTTAACTGAATTATTTTAAAAAATAAACTCATGAAACAGGCCTGGACAAAAATGATGGTACCCTTAACTAAATATTTTGTTGGACAACCTTTGAGGCAATCACTGCAATCAAATGACTTCTGTAACTGTCAATGAGACTTGTGCACCTCTTAGCAGGTATGTTGGCCCACTCCTCATGAGCAGACTGCTCCAGTTGTCTCAGGTCTCATAGAAGGCCACTTCAGAATAGTCCAATGTTTTCCTCTTAGCCACTCTTGGATGTTTTTAGCTGTGTGTTTTGGCTCATTATCCTGTTGCAAGACCCATGACCTGCGACTGAGACCAAGCTTTCTGACACTGGGCAGCACATTTCTCTCTAGAATACCTTGATAGTCTTGAGATTTCATTTTACCCTGCACAGATTCAAGACACCCTGTGCCAGATGCAGCCCCAGAACATAACAGAGCCTCCTTCATGTTTCACAGTAGGGACAGTGTTCTTTTCTTGATATGCTTCTTTTTTGCGTCTGAACATAGAGCTGATGTGCCTTGCCAAAAAGTTCCAGTTTTGTCTCGTCTGTCCATCACACATTCTCCCAGAAGCTTTGTGGCTTGTCAACATGCAGTCTAGCAAATTCCAGTCTGGTTTTTTTATGATTTGTTTTCAACACTGGTGTCCTCTTTGGTCGTCTTCCATGAAGTCCACTTTGGCTCAAACAACGACGGATGGTGTGATCTGACACTGGTGTACCTTGACCTTGGAGTTCACCTTTAATGTCTTTAGAGGTTGTTCTGGGCTCTTTATACCATTCGTATTATCCGTCTCTTCCATTTGTCATCCATTTTCCTCCTACGGCCACGTCCAGGGAGGTTGGCTACAGTCCCATGGATCTTAAATTTCTGAATAATATGTGCAACTGTAGTCACAGGAACATCAAGCTGCTTGGAGATGGTCTTATTGCCTTTACCTAAAACATGATAGTCAATTTTCTTTCTAATCTCCTGAGACAACTCTCTCCTTGGCTTCCTCTGGTCCATGTTTAGTGTGGTACACAGCATGTCACCAAACACCACAGTGACTACTTGTAACCCTATAAATAGGCCGACTGACTGACTACAAGTTTGTAGACACCTGTGACGCTAATTGGAGGACACACCTTGATTGAACATGTCCCTATGGTCACGTTATTTTCAGTCTTTTCTACGGGTACCATCTTTTTTGTCCAGGCCTGTTTCATGAGTTTATTTTTTTAAATAATTCTGTTAAATCACGGTTCAAAAGCAAGGTCTGATTTTCATTGGTTAATTTTCATAGAATTTTTATTTATTATTTATTACTTTTGTCAGATTCAAGTTATTTCTGTGACCATTGTAGGTTTTTCTTTCATTAACTGAGGGGTACCAACAATTTTGCCCATGTGTGTACATTTCTTATGCATTCCTACTTGCCTTTTCCATTTCATCCCAGTTGCGAATGATTCCATTCTTTATGGGGTGTTTCAGAGCCAGAACTCCTCTCATGTGTTGAGCATCATGGCCAATGTAAGTCTCCCTTTCAAGGTTTCCATTCATTATTTCCTGCAGAACACAAGCACTTAATGTCAAATCCCTTTGCTTATATTATCATTATAAGCAATATATATACACATTTACTAAACAATTTATAAACACAATAATGTATTTATAGGCGGAAGCAAGTGTTGATTTATGCATTTATAGTAACAAAATTCCACTATAAAATGTGTCTTCATAAGAGACTTAAGCATTTTAGACACATTCAATTTGAAGCCCCTGGGATTTTATTTTCTTACTATCCAGGATCTTTCCCTGGTGCTAAATGTTCCTCCAACACATTAATATATGTGTTTCAATGGCAGGGACAAGCCCAGAGAAGTTTCAGCAAATTAAGCCACCAATTTTTCAAACCTACAGCGGTTCCACACATCACTCTGCAAATAAAATCAAACAACAAAGCCTGGACTGGGGTCCATTAATGGTAAAATCTCCCTGGCTCTTCCATCCCGATTGTCAGCTACAGAAACCAAGCAAACCAGCCTTCAGGTTTTTAAAAAAGAATTCTGGCTGTTTAACAATGCTGCAGAAAACACCAGCATGCTTGACCAATCAGGAATGTTCAGTACTGCAAGCCTCCCTCTGAAAAACCTTTAGAGGACCTGAGTTTCCAGTGGAAAGTTTCTGCTTGAACACTTGTAATGTTCTTATATTGCCTCATACGTCACAGTGCGTTATTTGTTCAATATTTGCTTATAAATGTTGTTATAAAATCTTTAATCATGGATGTCCTTACCTCATACTTGGGCATCCCAATTATTGTTGGGAACATAAGGCTTGGGAGGTCTTGATCTGCAAATCCTGCTTTCATCAAACCAGACCCCGTATCCAGGACTATGGGGGTCTTGAAATCTTCCATCTGCAAACACATTAGGAGGAAAATTTGGATCAAATGAACAGCAGTGCTGGGAGAACTCACACAATGTGGTTTGTAATGTTTGAGGTCACTGACTTATTTGTTTGTTTGTTTGTTTGTTTACATGAAAGCTAAGCAAATTAAGTCCAAAAACATATATCTGGTAGCAATTTTTCAAGCTGCTTTCACCACATCAGTATGCACATAAATCTCCAATTTCAAAACTTCATTGCAACTATGGAAGTCTCATTAATAAAGAGGATCACAAAAAGTGAAACGAACTCCCTCTATTAAACTGAAAAAAAGGGAAGCAGAAGTGCAAAAAACTAAAAGAAAACATTCTCAAGCGTTCACAAGAGAGCCAAACATAATATCTAAGCTTAGATTTTTTCTTAGTCTAGTTTATCTAAACTTGTTTTCTGCATTTGAGATAGACAGACAGGCCAAGATAAGTAAGTTCCCAACTATTCTGACAAAAAGTTCACATGCACCTGTCTCACACTGATGTTGAGCTGCGTCTGGATCTCAGGAGACCGAGAACGTAAAATCCTCACAGTCTCAGAGCGCTGAACCGCATCTGGCAGGTCTTCATTCAGCTCACCACCACCTGGGTCGAACTCCAGAGGCTGGTCAGGAGGCAGCTGAGGTGCTGACTGCTGATGTACTGGTTCATCTGCAGGAGGTGGAGTCTGGATTTCCTCTGTTATCTGTAGCATACATGTCGGTGTGTCCTCTTCGTCTTTAGCAGAGACTTCAGACAAGCTTTCTACTGACGCCTCACACTCCTCTGAAAGTGCACTGTTGTTATTGTTGTTGTTACTGTGCTCCTTCACACTTGGATTTAGAACCAAGCTGTGATCGATGTCTGGAGCCACATTCTCTGGCAGCACTTCATATGTTTTATCTCGCAGATCAAGTTGTGCAAAACCAGGATCTCGAACTACTAAAGACGGTGATGGATGGAGCGTCTCTGTGGAATGAGGAGTTTCGAGTTCAGTGAAGCTATCATTCACAGGAAGCGAAGCCTTTCTTGGCTTAGGTACAGGAGGAAGGATTGATTTCCCACCTGGGTCAAACGCTCCATCATCTGGCCTCATTTCAGGAGTTAAAGAAGCTTCTGGATTGCTTAGGTTAGCTTCGCCAGATTTGTCTAATTCTGTCCCAATACATAGCTGAGATTGGACACCCACTTCAGAGGTTTCTCTACTACTTAAGGTAGTTCTGTTACATACAGACGAATCAGCTTCAGAGTCACTGGAATCTTGACTTTGGGAAACTGTAAGTTGATCCAAGTCCTGTGCTGCAACTTCTCTGGCAGCATCCAGATCTGATAATGCTTCAATAGCTTCAGTCTCACATGAATCCTGATCCAGAAGATCATTCTGGACCAACAAAGTAGGTGACCTGCTCTGTGATCTGTTGTAACTATCTGATAAAAGCTCCTCACATAGAGCTCGGTCCTCTTCATTCTCGGTTCTACGCTTCTCCATTATAGAACATCTTACAACCTCTCCACATTTTTCCTTGTGTTTTTTCATTTTAGGCTCTTTGTCTAAACTTTTCTCAAGCTTCTCCACCTCCCTTTTCTCCTTTTCCAGTTGTAACCTGAAAGCCGCCCTGTCTTTGCTCACACTTGACGGCTCGTTCATGTCTGAAGGATCGATTTCCGAGAGTTCGTCATTAGGGTTTTCTTCGTCGTGTTGGAGCTTGTGGATCTTCAGGTTCTCCTCCATGATTAGCTCATCCAGTATGTGGACTTTCTTTAGCTCTGTCAGCAGGTCCGGCCTGCAGTTAAATAATCCTGTATCTGCTGCTGTCACAGTGTCGAGCTCATCATCTGCAGAAGGTTTGGTTTCACTTGCAGATTTGGCTGATCTGAGTTCACTGAAGCTGTCGGATTCTGGGGGGTCAAGGGAGTCCTCGAGGCCGAGAACGCCGGCTTCAGCCAGTTCACTGGATGACATCTTTAAAGAGGAGCAAAGACAGAAAAAGCACCATGGATACCAGCTCGCACATGCAGGTTGACACTAACAATATGAGCTATAGTTCAGTGGCTCTAGACATTTGCTTTTAAGCCACAGTGTCTGACAAACTAAGTACAAGCTGCTCTGATACACAAATGAGACTAATTGTTACAGTGGCTCAGTGCCTGGAAGAGCAGACTAAACAACTATCCAGCAAATCAACGATAAAGTTCAACTATTCCTAACTGCTGAAACAACATAACTAAGTGCACAGTGCTGAAAACCCTTATGTTCAGGTATTCTAAATGTAAAAATTCCAAACGTAGTCTGCATATTCCTGCCAGCCATGATTGCTGGATGGGTAGTACCCATTTCACCTTGGACAACCAGCCAGATGTGTATATTCTTGTATATATTTATCTTGTTTTTTTTTTGTCATTATTATTTATTTTTTCTCTTTCTGTAGTTGTTCTACTTTATTGTTATTATTTTCCTTGCTCATTCCTAGGGCGACAGCACCAGTCAGAACCAAATTCCATGTATGTTGTGTACATACTTGGCCATTAAAACTGATTCTGAACTATGATTAATGAAAGAAAACACCTGTTCGGTGGTAGGTTGGACGGAATAATGGTTTACTGGTGCTCAGCGCAATCATGGCCAGCAGGGGCAACTATATCCCTCTAGTGAGCGCCTTCTAGTTTAAATTTAGGTCATGTTGGGTACCAGTGATCATTTTGTCAGTGAAAGTGAACCAAAATTACTTCACAAGCACCCAAAACAGGAACTAATAAAAATAATGAAGAAAATATTTGCCAAGAAATACAAACTAAGCAAAATACAGACAAATGAAAACAAATGAGGCAGACCCCCCAAATCACACTGATCTTTCAATAAAGATCAGTCAACATATAACAAGAATATGAATGAAAATACACAATGAAAACTGGTCAAAAATGTCTTCCAGCATTGCTCACTAAAACTGAATTTAAACTTAGTAAAGTTCACAATTGGCCATGTAATCAAAAATGATAACTACAATGGTTAGTAAGCAATTTATGAAGGCTTTTAAATTCATGTTTCAAGAAGAAGAATTTGCTTACTTGTTTGGATCATTTAAAAAAAACAAAAAAAAAAAAAACAACTTACTGGTCACTTTCATTTGAAGTGAACAGTAAGGGTCACTTCAAATGAAATCTGTACTATCAAACTCTGGATCACAGTTGGGATAAAGTTTATAAAACTTTTATTTGATGTCCACTTAACGTACTGTGCAAAGCAGCCCCTCACTGTCCCACACTGGCCAGAGATTCTGCCTCTCCTCCGACCTCAGCAGGGAGTCCAGCACAGCTTCCTGAGCCAGAACATTTTCCTCCTCCTGACAACAAGACATTATTTGACTGACAATCGGGTCATTTGAGAAATCAAAACACATTCTTATGAGTATCTGATGCTTCGGCAGTGAAATATATCAATACTTGCAGCCCTATACGTGTGTCGCAGTGCGTCTCTTACTTCCAGGATTTCATCAGCTCTGTCCAGGATTTTCTCCACCTCCCTCAGACCTTCCTGCTCCTTCACATCCCAGTCTTTCAGTGAGATATCCATCACACTAAAAAAAGGACAGTGCCATTAGGTTATGCATTTTGGCAAAAGCAGTCATCAATGCTTGTGGCATCCACATTAAAACAACCAATGGAATCCCTGTCATGTCAAACTGTGAGCTCCACTGGGGACAAACAACCCAGTCTGAAGCTTTTAGATGCTTAAAGCTCTCCGTTGTACTTTCCATCTTTTGCCTTTAGCAGTAACAGTCAAAAGCACAACTGATTGGTGCATTACAGTAACATGTGCAGAGTTCTGCTACAGTTTAGTACATTGCACCACAATCCCTGGCAGAAAACCAAATACCATTTCGAAATGGAAGCCACACATTTTTGATACCATATGACTATTATAGAGATTTTGAAAGAGAAAATAAACCCATTCATTCCCTTAGAGGTCAAAGTTTAAACTCAAGCAATACCAGTCTCGCTACATTCACAGTCGTACTTGATCCGGTAAAACCAGACCAGCTCATGGTGACCTAATGTCAGCAACCTTTAGATAGTTTGGATCACTGAGGTGGTTTTCCTGGAGCTCTTGTAAGAAAGACTTGGTATAGAAAGAGTTTGGATGGTGAGATGTTATTCTTAGGTGGTCAAAAAAGGCAAAAGACAGGAGAAGAGTTATGAGAAATGGACTGATTTGTTATTCTTCTGGATTGCTAGTCAACTACCTGCAATTATAACATATTCTGAGCCTACAAAGTTACAATACAGTTACTGGAACCCTGCTGGATTTGGCCCTGGATGCTTCCAGAAAAAGAGGTTAACCTAATGTTAGCAGGTCTTTTCTAATCTTTATTGGATTTGGGCAGGTTTACTTGGATTAGTTCTTACCTGTGTAAAACCTAACATTTTCAAATGAATCAGCCAAAGAACAGCAACTCAGAGCTGTGCGTATAAAGAGAGGTCTAATCAGCCCAAAATAACTGAGTGATCAGCTATGTGGGTGTAAAATAGCTGTACAGGGTCATTAACACTAATTACCACTTAATTGGAGCTCGTAAATCCTAACAGCTGTTAAACAACTCAGCCAAGATTAACAGTCAACAGACAGAAATGAGAAATCTGACGCTCTGTAGCTCTAAGTGAAAGGTATTTCAAGTGGTAAATGTGCAGCGCTGTCACTTAGCTGTTAAATGTGCTTTGCTAGAAAACTTTCTTAGGGAAAGGCCTGTTGCCACCAGTGACTACAGTGGATAGTAAAAGTTATTTGAATCATTACCTATCAGTGGTATCTGAATTCTGGTTGTGGAGGTCATAAGAATCCCAGAGAAGAGTTGGAATCCCCTCTGTTGAACACACAGACTTGTCTCTTCCATCTGTAATAGTGCTGGAGAGAAAGTTGCGAATGGGGCTCAGTTCAGGATCCTCCAAACCACTTTGTGAGTGTGGCGTCCTGTCACTGCTCTCTGGTGCTCTGGGCTCCATGCTGCTCAAAACCTCCGTCTGTGTGGGCTGACTTCGGGATCTGCTGGACTGATTGCCAGCAGAATGGAAGTCGGAGGGATCATGAACGTGCAGGTCTCTCTTTTGTGGCATTGGGTTCTGTGTAATAGTCACCGTGTACGAGTTTTCCAAATCATCGACTGGCAAGCTAAGCCAGGGATTATTGGGCAGCGCAGCTGAGCGCTTCACTTGGATCTCAAAGTTGAGGGAGTCCACTTTTACATTGGGGATGATCTTGATGCTAGCCCTGGAGGATTTTCCCACAGAGCCCAAGTCAAACTCCTCTCTTAGATCCTCACAGTCTGAAACGCTGGAGAAGTTCTCCTCGTCGATTAGAGGTTGGCCCAAGGCTGCTCTCACATAGTCCCTGGTCCCGGCTAACTTGGACAAACCCTCCAGTCCTTCCTTGCCTCCCCAGGCCTCCAGCGGGCTGCTCCCAGCTCCATCGAAACCAGAATCAAAGGAGCTGAGGGAGGGAGGTTTGCCCTCAGCTGACACCATCATAGGAACTGCAGTCAAAGGAGATGTTCCAAGAAGATCTTTACTACTTTCACATTTAGTGAGGTTAGAGGGGCTGTGTTGATCATCCTTAGCTGCTTCGTTAGCAAGGGACTGATTGCCAGAGTTGCCTCGTAATAAATCATACTGCCACTGCAAGGCGAGCTGGAGGTGCCTGACTGCCACTGGTCCTGAAGAAATTAGGAGTTTCCTCAGGGTCATGCACCTGATGAATAGAAAAAAGATGACTATATTGGACACCAAACAAGTCGAACTGTTCAGTTCCTACAGTTCTGCAGATGATTTAAGGGGTTTGCAATTTGTTTAAAGGTATCATTGAATATTAAGACATACAAGATGTTCTGGAAATTCAGAAACTGAAACAAGCTAATTCCACAGCTTTCATCACTATTACAACGAAGCCAAGGTGATGTGGATGTAAAGCTAGATAAAGAACCTTCTTGTTCTGTCAAATTGTAATGACGCACAGTTTAGAGATAAAACAGACTAGAACTTTTTGATTTAATAGATTAGTTAGACAAGTTTAAAGACTGTAATCCCTTATAATTCGGTACTTATCTTGTGATCCCTGAGATTTGTCCTAAGTCCTGACCTCCAGTTTTGGGTACAGCTGTTTTGATGGAAAACATATTGGTGCCACATTTCTAAACAGAAATGTTCCATTTGTGTTTGTACCAAGTGTGTCACAAGGAAAGAGGATTCAGCATCCTTCAGAGAAAATAAGGGAGGCAGTTTCCCCGCCAAAACCCATTTGTTGTCTGCACAATATTCAATATATCCGGACTCTCATTTTCTTAAAATAAAGAAAATTACCATAAATTCATTGCAAATTGTTCATAGATACTCTACTTGAACAAATTGGTCATAGGGAGAATCTATGTAAAAAAGCCCAGAAAAACAGAAAAACGCATTGTAGTTCTGTTATTTCTATGATTATTTCTTTAAATGAATATGCATTCATGTGAGCGAACTTGCAGACAAGTTGGGCATATTTAACAAAACAGGTGTTTCGAAGTTCACTAAACAACTCAAACATGGTATGAAAGGCTGCATTCTATGGAAAAAACAAAACAGTCAGGACCTGATTTACTCAGAGAATCCTCAACATGTCTTAATTCCAAAATGATGTGACCATCTAATATACTAAGATCTCACATATCTGTACTACACTACTGTAAGAAAACTAATACAAACTCAGCCACAGTGTTCCTGTTACAACCTCACCTCTGAGACATCTGCTTGCCTGCATGCTGGATCTCATCATCTGGGATGGCACCAGACAGATGTGCCAGATGTAGCAGCTCCTCCATATCTGGAGGAGGATTCTTCTTCAGGAAAGTTGACAGCTTCCGTCTCCAAGGAGGGATCGTTGACCAGTTCTTCCTCTGCCGCTGAGACAAAACACCGTCTCCCTGAACACCTGAGAGGAGCTCCTGGAGGAAGTTCTCACAGAGGACCAGACTGTACCAGGTGCTGGCCTATAGAGGAAACAAACATCTTCAGTTCTGCTGTTCTTGGAAAGAAATGGCATCACCAGTAGCATCGCACCACAGAAATTTGCATTTTCACTTTATCGCCACTGTCGAGGACTTGCCTTGTTGTAGTAGTGATGATAGCTGGAAGCAGCTCTGAGGGTTTGGAGGATAAAATGCACAGCAGAATGGAGTTTCTCCTTCAGCCTCTCCAGATCCAAAACCCAGCTCTCACTGATCTGCCCATCCAACGGCAGGATCTCCGCCAACGTGTGGATCACGTCTTCAGCACAGCGAACAAGAGCCTGGAAGGTCAAAGTGGCAATTTTCAAGTTATTTAAAGATCTGAGTGAAGTGGACACCAGCACTTATCAAAATCTCGGGGAATATGACAGTGTGATGTCGGCCACTCATACTTCCAGGACTGAACCACAGCGAAGTCTGAGGCTACAAGACACAATGACTGAACTACATGACAAAAAACAATGAAAGAAAACAGGCTACATGTTGAAGACTGTGAAATTCAGAAGACAATATCTAAACGAGTACCATAGCAGGAGTGTGAATGGATGCCTCAAATTCAGACACCAACATCGCAGCCTTTTCGGCATCCTTGGCGATCTCCATTTTGTAAGGCTGGAGCTTCTCTTGAAGAAGAACTTCAATCTTCTCTGTGATCTGCAAACACATTTAGTTCAGTTACAAACAGGTCACAGTTTGGAATAAAGAGTCACTGGGCTTTTGCTGTTAGAGTCTCCCACTATAGATATTCTATGGACCTTAGACACAAGTCAATGGCTTCTATTATAATACAATATATCTTTAATATATCTTTTATATACAATAATCGCATCACTAATTTATTTGGATAAGAACAATTTATCACAGTAGCAAGAAAGCACAATACTGATTACCTTCCATTCAACAGAACGGCACAGTTTGAAGATTATTATTGAGCAGGATACTGTGCCTTTAACAATAAACACCTCTATCCAGAAATGTATTAACCACGGAGGGTTGCTGCCAGTTTTCCCCAGAGTGTTCATTTGTGGTATTGCAACTTATAAAAACATACAAAAACATCCTCCACACATCACAATAATAAAACACACTTTTATAATGGTTTTGTATTCATACAACATTCATTAGGCCAGAAAGCAGTTGCATGTGCATGACATTTCCTTATTAAAGGAACTGAACTGACCTCTGTTTAGACTACTTATTACCTTCCAGTTAAATCAGAGAAAACTCATATACTCAAGTATGGATGCTGCCATGGTTACCAAGTCTTATGGCTGTAACCTTACTAGCTTCCTAACTTGCATACATTTTTTTGTGTTTTTTTTTGTGGTTTTTTTTTGTGTGTGTGTGTGTTTTGGTTTTTCAATAAAAGTGTGTCCTCTGTCCAGGGAAGATCTTCCTCCAAATTCATTTTGTAGTTTCTTTATGTCCATTAGGTCCAGCCCCTTATGGTTTGTGTATAGCTATAGATCATTTTGGGAGTAAAATATATTTTACATTTGTTGTAAATAGCAACAAAGCAAGTAAATGACCTTTTTTCCCCCTAAACTGTTTTTCTCCTGTTTTGGTATCTTAGTGACTTGGATGTGGTAAATGTCTCTTGTTCTTCGTGGTTCCCCCTAAGGTTAATCAGCATGTTTCTGAAAAAACAAAGATAGGTTTTATTTCTTATTTTGTCCTTGGATCACCCTGAAATGACATTTCTTCCAGTTTTTTTTTCTGCTTTCCTATCTGTGGTTGACAATAAATTCTCCTACTTTACTGATTAAAAGTAGCCTGACTTTGGTTTGGGGAATGGGGAGGGAAAAACTGTTTGCACTTCTATGTTGGGCTGGTATTCCCCTTGATGGTGGCTTAACACAAAGTTAATTGCACAAATAGACATGCTGCTTATATACATTTCATTCTTGACAATTCACAACCACAAAACAAATTAGTAGTTCAAATTTTAAGTTCATGCTAAAATCACAAGTTTGCCACCATGCTATCAGCTTCTAAAACAGGAGGCTACCTCATTACGGTTTATTGCACATACTTGCTGACTATTGCACATACAGCTGATGTAGCACTACTCCTTATTTTGTACAGTCTATTGCCTTTATTTGTCTTTTGTTATTTTATATGTATATACATTTTTTTTCTATTTTATCTCTAATCTATTTTGTATTTAGATGTATATTGTTTGGCATTTGTTGTGGATCGCAAACAAAGAATTTCATAATACAGTGAAACATGTCTCCATACAGTACATATGACAATAAACACTTGAATCTGAATAAAATCTTGAAGTTATTCTGTTTTTCTCTAAAAGAAACCTGCAGAGTCCACTTAAAAGTAAATTGAGAGTGGCCCACACCAAATGGAAAAATGCACAACAGTTTGCTAATAAGCTGACGTGAACAAGTTTGATCGGAAAGCATCCCAAGACTGACCTGCAGTGCATCATCACGTAGCTGGAACACCTGCAGCTGCAAATGAGCCTTAGAAAATGCCTGCTGCCACAGAAGCTCCACTTTTTCCACAGCTGCAGTTATTCTGAAAAAGAGAGAAAGACATGTTATAAATGGTGTCAATTCAATTACTTTTTATCGGATGCTGTATGTGCCTTTTTGCCTTACATTACAAAAGTGAATGGACAGCGATGCAGATAGCATTCATTAAATGCAAAAACGGTTTCCTTGTTGTTCAGTAGATAAGGTATGTCCTTCTAAAAGTGTTTTTCCATGCATTCAAAGAAATATGCTGAGATGTGATGCAAATCTAAAGAAGTAAATTAGAAATTAAATGTCAGCTACAGTTCAATAGATTATCTAGTATGCACTAGTTTAGAAAATCCTTATTAGTCAAACACATGTTGCTACTGTGCTCTAGCTGTTGTGAAACAGGATCATTGCAACACTGCTGCATGGTATGTGTGGGAAGCGTTGTTAGGAAGAGGATTAAGATAAAGGCATTTGAGAAAGGCGAAGGAGAAAGTTTTTCTGCGATGGAGCCTGCTGCCTGCAGTACCTGCTGTGGTTCTGCACCATGTCGAAGGCAGTGTGGGTGAAGAGGGCAGTGCCAGCCATGGCCTGGTAACATGGCTCCCTGTCGGGGTATCGCAGCTTCTCCACCACACCATGACAGTGCCTCAGCAGCTCATCCAGACCCAGCTCCCTGCACCGCAACATGGACACAAACAGTACTATCAGGCTACTTGAAGCTAGTAGCTAAAATCTGTTCTGTTTTTGCGTTCTGGTTGAGTAATCTGCAGTGGTACTCATCTATTCTTGTGGATGACTGACTCCACTTAGATTTCACTGCACCATATTTCAGCAGCCACAGTAAGGTCACAGCAAAAGCATCTTTCCAAACCCACAATTTAGTTTCCTTTTCTGTGGACATGACTGCAAAGCTCTGCAGCCTTTGAGTGAACTTTAGTGTTGTGTTCGACCTGGAAATTCAAGTTTACAATAAATTCAGAAGTGGAACAGTGTTGCTTCAAAACTACAATGATGACTGACTACGTTTCCTGCGTTTCAGTGCTCTTTTAAATAAAACGGACAATCTTCCAACCTCCCAAGATCGAGTTATGAACACTTTGAAGGATATAAATACATGAGTAGAAGGTTGTGCATGTACACTCTCCATATCAACACAGTAGAAATCTCATTTAATTACCTAAAGCTATTTATAGATATGCCAAAGAAGGCTAGAACTTAAACTTCAATTCTTTTTGGGTACTGTCAAATATGCATCCAAATAATATATATAGATATATCTATATATAAAATGTTAGCTGGCATCAACTGTCTGGACAGATTTGTGATATTTTGTATATTTATGTAGTTCCTGATTTAAACAATTTTCTTATTTTATTTTCATTTTTCAAAGAAATGGAAACTGTAGAAATCGTAGAAAAATGTGTTATATCTATCAAAGGAAATTATTCTAAACTTAGAGAAGGGACTCAGTATTTGTGAAAGAAGCTGGGATTTGTACTAAATCAACGCACTGTAAATTCCTATAAGAACATATATGACCGTTAGTCAAGCCACAACTGCAGCCCTATAAATGCTCACTCCAGGCATATAGAGAATGTTATAAAAAGCAGCAGTAAAATAATTTTGACCCTCAGATAAACTTTATTTTGAAAAAGTAACTGAAAATGATTGCACTTGTTCATTCGTCTACAGGTACACGTCCCTGCAACTATAAAGAGGCATAAAAAAAGATACTTTTACAAGATGTTGTTGAGCCTTGTGGCCTCTGAGAGGAGAACTTTCAGTTGTGAGCCTGACCTTCTGAGCTGATGGAACTTTGCCTCGTTAGTGGAGCAGAAATGTTGGAGCTCAACGAAGGTGGAGGGCAGCGGCAGCCTGGACAAAGCCTGCAGCGTGGAGATACACGAGGGCAGCCGCTGGACCACAGACAGGAACTCCTGGACGAAGGCGTCGATCTCCTGCAGGAAGTAGTTTGGCTTAAAGCATTCAATTTTACCCCCAAAATTCGCAAGTGGGTTTAAAAAGCATGTTATCAAAAAAATGGCCAAAATAACACCATTTCCAGAGTCGCTTATTGTAAAGACAGCAATAATGATGGGATTTTCAACTTTCCGACAGTCCTTGAACTACTCACATGTGACATATGGTTTTGCCAAACGAACTAACCAAAACGAAACTTAAAATTATAATTTGCCAAAAACAAACAGCTTGTACGAATGGCTAATGATGTAAAAAAAATAAAATAAAAAAATAATAATAATAATTAAATAAATAAGTGATAATAACAATAATAATAATTTTGCATTTTTGAGCAACCAAAAATCAGGGACCATTCAGATGAACTGGGATGAGCAAGGATAAAAGGAACAAAGGAAAAAAATAAAACTATTTAAAAATGTAAGCACTTTATTTATAGTACATACAGTTATAATTTTTTTCAGCATTGTAACACTTGTGGGCACTTGAAATGTGTTGTACATATGTGTTGTACACATTTTTCATTTTTTCCTAAAACAAATATCAATATCAAATCAAAAGATTTTTTTTTTATTTTCATTTTGTATGATTTCTGCCACTGTAACTGGGTTATACTGCACAAAAGACATGTTTAAGTTCTACTTCTGATCATTGTTGTGCTCTTTTCATAAGATGTACAGGACTTTATATTGCAGTGAAAAATTAGTCCACAGAGAGTAAAAATGGCATAAGAGCAAAAAAAAAAAAAAAACACCCACAAACGGTACAGAGAGTTAAATTCATTATTTACGCTCACTTCATAATCTGATTATAATCCTTGTAATAAACCAGGCTGCACTAATTTGTGTTCAACTCACAGCCTACATGTAGATCCAGAGCAGATAGAGTAGTTGCATCCCAAACAGGGCTCCTATAGGCAGAGATCTGCTGTGGTTAATGAATACTGTCATGGCCCAGTTGAACATGAATGAATGTATAATCTAATAGAAAGAGGGCTCCTTTCACTTGCTAATAAGGTCAGCTGATTACGCGAGGCATTTGCACAAGCTTCACCAAGGTAACGAACAATAGACGCAGGCCACTCGGATGAATCTCATGAGCAGATTCGCAAATGCAAACATCTCCTGACTGAGTGTTGAGCGCGCTCTTCATCACAAAGCAGCCACCTTTAGCTGGAATAAATATGTTGCCTTCATTCTGTGCCAGTATTGTACATGTGATAAACAGATCGTATGTGTGTGCCGCCTCAGTCGTCAGCAGAATAAGTGAGCGTGCGTGTAGGAGTCTGTTTACACACACAAACGCTACAGCTGCCGAGGACAGCAGCACAATGTTACTTTGTGTAAAACCCTCTGACTGATCATAAGACAGATTCGTAGGCTGGGCTTTGAATCAGACTCGTGTTTTACAAGCATAACTGGTCAGAATGGCTCATCAATGAATGCAAACTTATTGCAATATTGTTCCTGTGATTGAACAAATTTGGATTATTTACGTTTTTATGTTTGTCTGAAACTTGGCTGCATATCAACTTGAGCTTTAAAGTCTTGCCAAGGGAATGCAATCCTGATAAGGTGGTAATTATATTAGATTCTTTTTTTCGACAAAGAAAACAAAACACAGGAAACTTTTAAAGCAACTCAGACACTGTTCATCTGGTGCAGCTGGTAAAATGGAACAATGAGAACAAGCTAAACAAGTTCGACTCAAACTGAACTTGTATTTACTAATAAGCTAGAGAGGATAATTAAGTCTCCTAATATGACAACAGGTTTGTCAGATCATGACTTTTTCTTTCACAAACTTTAAAATTATGGGTTTGGTTTTCCTCTAAACAAAAACACATTGTTTGGTTGCAACATAACTCGATTTAAAATGCAATCCTAGAAATTACCTTAGCAGATTGCCCATTATCCTACATCAGCACTTTCTAAGCATTCAGTCATATCTGTCCACCTGACAGTTAGAAATACATTTTAAAAGGTCATTTAAGCCAAACATGGTTAGAGGACAGTTGTAGAGTGTTGCACATTTATTAACCTCTTCAGACCCGGTGACAATATGCGTGGACATCACATTTTGGGTTATATTATCACATTAGTTAATTTAAATATATGAATTATTTTTATTTTATTGTTGCTTTTTTGTTGTTTTTTTAATTTCTTTTTAAATTAATTTTTTATTTTCTCAGGTCTTAAGAGGTTAAAGACCACGAAGTAAGGCTTTTATTTACTCTCTAATTTACAGTTTTCATTAGGTGGAATTTAAAATGGTCATTTTTGCATTTTTGTCAGTTTTTAAAAATCTCACTCTGGTCTGGCAATAAGGAGACTTATATCTAAAAATTCTAAGTGTCTCTTATCCTTAGAGCCCACAGTTGTTTGTCCATTTTGTTCCCAACCCATGACATTTCATGCCGAGTTTTTTTTTTTTTTCCCCAAACGTGAGTAATTAGGACAGAGCATGTTTATGCTGTGCCAGTTGTAAAACCCTTTCAGGCAAATTTGCTGTCATTTGTGACACTGGGGTAAATACATTTAACTAACTCAGTGCTCTCAGGGCATTGGCCATACTACATATCACACTAACAGCGGAGACAACATTGATCTTACTTTAAGATGATCTGTAACATATTTAAACTTAATATATCTTCAGTAAAATAAACATCATATACAGGAGGTCTGGGCCACTCCTAATTTTGTTTGCATCTTATATGAATTTGTATTATTGTCAATTAAAAACCTGTCTGGTCTTACAAGCTCCTTATCCGAGGCCTACTGTAGTCTGTTGGAGCAGATGTCATCCCCCGTGATAACACTTTGGATACAGATGCTTTTGGCAAAAACCTTGTATTATTTTTATGTCGGTACACAAGATAGTGTACTTCACTATTTTTCCTTTAAAAATACTACACTGTCAACAGTATTCTATAGTGTATATGTACATTAGAGTGTAATTTGTTGAGTGGGTATTTTTTCCACTAAATGTCTCAGTAACAGCAACCTGCAATATATTTTAATTATTTCATTTTGAAATAAGTTTGAAAAAAAGCATATAAACTAGAACATTTGTTGCTTTAACATTCAAGAGTAGCCTTAATAGTTCAAAAAAAAAAAAAGCTTAATAGTGTATTGTACCACTTTCAAAATGTAACATGCTTCGACAAAAACATCACAATATTCATGAAATACACCATCTTTCAGCTTGACTGTCATAATTTTGATGATTTATGCACAGCTAGTTGTGTAAACTTTGCCTCTAGAGAAACCAGAAAGTCCTTGTAAGGAAGCTGGTTTTGTCTTCAGTCAAAAATATGAATTAAGTTACCTTAATGAAGGCAACCCAGCTCTGGTGGCAGTACATGAGGTATCCACCCAGAGATGCTGGCAGCTGGCTTCTGTCAATGTAGTTGGAGAGCTCCGAGATTTCTTTCAGAAGGACTTTCTGCAGCAAGAGGAGACCAGCCTTTAGTTACTCCACGAATCTAAACACTTTCTTGTGCACAGCAAGAGTTGATTCGCTTACCTTGAAAGAGGCAGTGTAAGACTTAGTCGGAGCCAGGAGCTTCAGAAGCAGCTTGAGAGCGTCCTTCTTTTTGGGCTGAATTATATAGACACAGTGGACTGTCCGCTTGTTCAGCTAGAAGACGGATGAGAGCAGAAAACTTAGCAACCATCATTGCTTTTATATGGATCAGATAACGTTGGATGCTTATACTACAGAATCAGATATAAAAAGAAGTAGTCTGCAATATCATAAACCTTCCTACAGCAGCTCCCTCCTTCAAAATAAAGTTTCTCACTCAAATTTATAGAGTTATAGAGTTTGCATACAGTCTTGACAAGGCTCAGCCAGCTGACTCCAACACAGAAAAGCAGGAAAACAGTTTACAGATACTGCTCTTGTAGAATGTTACAGTTTTAAACGATCAAATTATGATGATCACCTTTTGGGTGTGTGCAATGCTCAGAAAAATCAGAGAAAAGGCTCACGGACACCTACCAATTGGACATATATTGTAATGTATATTACAAATATTGAAATGCATCAGTATCAGATATTGCAATAACTGATGCACAAAAACAACGCATTGAGTGGATAATGCATAGAAGGTAAAGAGGCAAGGTTTAAAATCTGTCAGCTGGGTAAAGCGTGGCAAAAGATGTACGCTGCAACAAAATTAAAAAAACAAAAAAAACAAAACGTGAAGCCTAAAGACATTTTTCTCCACAGAACCCCAAAATAGAAAGACAATAACAATGTCACCGTTGACTGGGCACCTTCAAACTGCAAATAAGGTCAATTAGTACTTTGCTAGGAATTGTGATGGTTTCACACTTGAAAAACTTTCCAAGAGCTTCAACTGACGCCATGTGTGACACAATACCAGTTCACTAAAGTGAACAGGTGCCATGTTGGACACCCAGGACCCAGTTCTTCTAATAAAGTGCTAATCTAGATGTCTCTATCTGTATGTGGCTGATAATAGTTACAGAGCAAACACTGGTAAGATGCTTCAGGTCAGCAACCACACAGGTCACTCTGCAATGAACCTGAATGTAAATTCTAACGCACAAAAACAAATCATGTATTTTTTTTTATTATTATTATTGGAATTAATATGCATGAGTGGCTTTTAAACGACAGGTGAATAAGCCGAAGTTCTGAGGCTTTTTCTCACTACATGTGACAATTGTTACTTCAGTTATGTAAAACCTATCAGATGAAAAAAAAAAAAGATACAATATGAAATGTAGATAAGCAGTGTTAGTCTCGTACTGAAAGTGCTCTTAGCTTAACATTACTTCCATGTGTAGCAGCTGCAACCACAAATAAAAGTCGTGACATCCTTGACATATCAAAGTCAAGACAAACATTTAAGTGAGGCCTTGTAGATCTAATATAATGTGGATGTGGGCGGTTTATTTCTCACTCTCAAATTTGTTCAGTAAAATATTTTGGTGGATTGTTAAGCCGAAACAAGGGAGCGTTTATGTGGCCTACTTCATACACATGATTACTCATCCTGGGCAAACCACACTTGTTTACAAAACTAGCCACCTTGGGGGAAGAGATCTAGTTTGACCTTTTCTGAAATACCACAACCTTGGCTTTGAGGCTTCTGCATACGTGGAATTTTCAAAATAATAGAAAGGTCTACTTTGACACAGGGACCGTGTACAACCGTGGCCTGCCAATGTTGATATTGATAATTCCTGAACAAATTGACAGTTAAGCAATTTACCAAAACCCCACATACACGGAACAAAAACATGGGGCTTTTGTGGACCCTTTAGATCTTCCCACTCCAGTTCTTATTAATACACTCTCAAACGCAAAACACTCCCACAATCCAGCTCTGTTCCGAGGGGCCTCGCATAATCCCATAATAACATGGTGACGGCTGTGAATCCGTTAGCTTTCATCAATGAATGCATCATTAGAATAAATCCGTCAGTCTTGGAAATTAGAGAACACCAAAAGTCACATCAAGTTCAAACAAAATACCAAGTCCAAGTTAAATCCTTCTCTTCATCCCAGCAGTTTGCAATTACAAAATAAAACATGTTGGTATGCAGGCTGACACCAGGCCAGCAACTAAGACCACAAAAGCTATGCAGTCTTTTTCTCCTTGAGTGTGGGCAGTTGATCTGGATGCATATAAAAAAAAAAATGCTGCATCCCCGACATAATTGTGCTCATTTAATGTAATTTCACAGAGGCTTTTCTATTAAATAACCGAGCATGTGACCGACCATGCATGTGACAGACACACAGACATACACACACACAGACACACACACAGACACAGACACACTCACTTTGGGATTGTACGTTGAAGACCAGTTCAGAATCAATAAAACAAAATGTTGCATAACTTTATGCTGCGAGGAAGAAAAAATACAAAAATAAAAGAGCTCTTCTTGCCGAGAGGTTAATCACAAGTTGAGCACGTCACTGCGCCGGGTGCAGAACACTCGCTTCGAGTCGTGCTCATGCATAATTCAGACAGAACCGGCTCCAGAAACGCAGAGCTGCCGTTTCACAAAAGCGTCGTCCCTAAATGCGTCTCAGCTGAACAACACGCAGGAGTATGGCATAAAAACACTCATCTTTTCTGCAAAAGAGAATGCTGTCTATGCATTCTCTTTCGGATATTCTTCTTAGCCAAAACTGAATGCTGGTGTTGGATTTGCACTTTTCTTTGTCCATGGCCCTAAAGACCCTTAGTCACTTCTCGCAGTGGACATTTGCTGCATGTTATGCTTATCTTTCATTTCGTCTCAGTAGCCCATTATAATGTCACACTCTTGCCTCATCACCAATTGACGAAAAATGATCGATACTTTAGGGGCTCCTATTGGTCACAGCTGTGGAAGTTGTCACATGATAGGTGAGTGGGTAAACAAATAAAAGAAATCTGACAGGCTAATCTTTAAAGCACACTAGCATAGGTTGTCATTGACTGTGATATACCACATGATTAAACCAACCGTTTTCCATCCTGGTGTCCGACATCTTTTGGTCACCATCCTCTGCACTGAAATAAGTTACGCTTTCACACAAGTCTTATTCCGGTCATTATCAAACCCCCATAAACGCATCTCTGTATATCAAAGTTTTTCCATGAAAATAATCCCTAGATATGACACTACACTCACCCTTTCGCCACACCTCGAGCACACCAGCTCACCCACAACTCTGCTCAAACACTGGAAAACACAACGGCATGTTGGAATATTGGAGTAATTGAGGCATACACGTTCGAGCCAGAAACTAATTCTGAAGAAAACTAATGATAAAGAAAGTCCCATCCTGCAGTCAGCATTGACAAGGACTAGCTTTATGTGACATAGCAAGCGGATCAAAACCGATAATGTAAAACCAGGAAAAATGGGTAAATCAGGTCTCCGTCTGTCAGTAACAAGCTGAAGTACAGCCACAACAACCTGCTGAACAGTTCCTGTGAATTATTACATCTATGCTGTGACGTTTAGGACATTTATGCTTAGTTTGATTTTGACCAGATGTATAATAACTGGCTTTAAAAAAAAACGGGCAGAACCGTCTTTGTCCATTGTCCTTAAAAAAAAAAAAATAGCAGTAATGACCAGCTCATTGTGTTCACACATACGCTCACAACCCTGTAGTGACAGGAAGCAATTCATGTGAACTGAACCTTGAAAAAGAAAAAAAGAAACATGCTGGTGCTGACCAACACGCCTCAGACTCAAAAGGCTCCCTGTTGCATCACATGAAGGATTTACGGTTCAGTTGTACGCAAATGCGCGGACCAACAAATTGCCCTTTGTTGACTCCCCTCATGCAACTGAAAGATGTGTTTGCTTTCTATTAAACTCAGCTGTAAAATGACTTTAAAGGCTCACAAAGTTGAACTTTAACTACATGCATTTGAATGACAAAATAGAATGCGTGAATCAACTTATTTCATGAGACAGCGGAGTAGCTAATGTGAGAAAAGATTCAGAGCAAAATACTTCAGAAGACGTGCTCGAGGCAAACATGCCTGCAGACTCCAGGCATGTGGGAGATGAGAAGATGACTGCCTCTTTATACTCAACTATTATCTATAAGATAAAACAGAAATATTGTCCACAACTTAAAGACTTTCAGTTTGCCGTCATAGAAAGCACAAAAAATGAAAATATTTACATGTGGGAAGCTGTAGTCACACTCAAACCAATTATCAAAATAGCTAGTGTTTAATTTAATTAAGCTCTAGCACAGACACACCATCTGTAAATGTAAGAACTGAGCAGCACTGACGTTAAAGCGAAGAGATGATGGACTATGTTAAAGTTTGTGTTTAGCTGTGATTGATGCATAGAAGGTAAAGCGGCCAGACTGAGAATATGTCAGTTGAATGAAACATGGCAAAAGGTATGCACTGCAACAAAACAATACAAAAAACCCTAAAGCCCAAAGACATATTTCTCCACAGAACTCCATTATAAAAAGAGACAATAACAATAACACTGTTGACTGGGCACCTTCAAACTGCAAATAAGGTCAATTAGTACTTACTCGTACAGTAAGAATTGTGATGGTTTCACACTTGAAAAACTTTCCAAGAGCTTCAACTGAAACCATGTGTGACATAATACCAGTTCATTGAAGTGAACAGGTGCCATGTTGGACACCCACTTCTCCTAATACAGTGCTAATCTAGATGCCTCTTTCTGTATGTGGCTGATAATAGTTACAGAGCAAACACTGGTAACATGCGTCAGGCCAGCAACCACACAGTTGCAATGAACTGGAATGTACATCAGAGGAAGCATCGGCCACAGACAATGGTTTGCACATCCCAAATCTGATATCCAACCAAATGTAATCTGGGCCAAAGCCTTGTTTTGCAACTGTACAACACAACTCAATCTGATCGACTGTAATGGACCTCCTGACTCAACATTTGCACCGCAAATGCAGATTTTATTTTAATAGTCATGAGTTCATGTATCCATCCAGTTGTAAAAGGGGTAAAAATCCATACGGGTTCTCCTAAAAGTTCTTAGAAGTTTCTGAGAAGTTAATATGAAGTTGTGTCTGTAATTGTTTAAGCACAACTACAGACACAAAGAAACAAGGACATTTGAAGGAAAAGAGACACCAAATGACCACAAAGAGACACAAAATGACTGCAAAGATGCAAAACACCTTAACAAAAAAAAAAAAAAACCTAGAAGGACCACTAAGACACCAAAAACAATACACAGATACACAAAATTACCACAGAGACACAAAGCGACCAAAAAGCCACAACAATACCTCGAGTAGCATCAGAGTCTCTGCGATGAACCTGGTCGTAGGAGGAGAAGCCTGCCTCAGATCAGCCACCACTGACACTAGACTCTGCTTCTCCTGCTTCTTGCTGTAAGAAAAGAACAATTCAGCCATCAGCACATGTTTTGCATAACCTTGAACAGACGCACGCACAGCAAGACAGACTCGGCTTCACTTACATGTGCAGACCATGAAAGTAATTTATGAAGTCCACCACTTCGGCTTTGCTGAGCTCTGAGGAGAGTCTGGCTTGTCCTTCCACGGGGAACACGATCAAAGGGCAGCCGTGCTGATCAAAAGCACCTGCACACACAGATAACACCACGTATCTCAAAAACATAGGAATCCAGGAAAAAAAGACATGTGAATTAGGTGTAAATATTAAGTTAGGGACATTTTCACCCAAATAATTTTGAGTCAATCCTCCCAAGACAACTGAAGACAGTTAATTGTATTATTCAGGAGTGTTATCAGCACTTCTTGGATTCTAATTTACAATTTTCCTGACCAAGTCTGCTAATGAATGTAGTACAAGCCACATTAATATACTGTACATAGTTTAACAATATATATATATATACATAAATATGTGGAATGCTGGAAAAAAAAATCTAAAAAGAAAAAAAACCCCCTGCAAAATCAAGAAAATAATGATGTTTTTAGTTGATTAATTAAATACAGTTCAGGCCCATTTTTTTTAAATTACTGATTTATTTTTAGCCAACTGTAATTTAATGATTTTTTTCAGTGATTTCTCAAAATATTTGTAATGTTTACAATTCTACAATTGTACAATTTCATTTGGCAGATGCTTTTATCCAAAGCGACATATATCTGAGAGTAGATGCAACACAAGCAAGGATCTAGTCAGGAGAAAACAATCCAGACAAGTGCCATAAAACAAATTCAAGTGTGATAGAGCGTTGATGCCAATAGCAGGCTGTGTGGGAGGCAGCAGGATTTTTATTTTTTTTTTCCTCTTCGGGCTGTCAAGTGCAAAGGTTTAAAACAAGAACAAAACAAACAAAAAACAAAACAAAAAATCTGGAAATCACCATTTTAAAATGTACCTTCTTTTAAAAAGAAAATCTGTAAAATACATAATTTTTCTTTCAAATAATAGGCAAATATATGATTTACTTATTTTCTAATTTACAAATACAAAATACAGATAAAAAAAATTGTAATTTTACAGTCTAATGTTGTCAAAGAACAAATTACCAAATAGAAAAATACATTTTTTCATGTGGACTTGCAGTTCTGGCTTGTTATTTTGTTTGTTTGTTTTGTTGTTGAGAGAGTCAATATAAATTAGTACTTTGTAATTGTACTAGATATGTGTAATTCAACTACACACGAAAAACCTGTAATGATATGAGAAAAGGTATATGCAGATTTTCAGACTTAAATATTTACTTCTTTTTTCTTTTCAAATAAGAGCAAATATCTGTAAAATAAGTATATTCTTTTTGGCTTATTTAAACACAGAAAAATATTGAATTTTATGGAATAATGTTGTCAATGAACAAATCAATTAAGATTTTTTTTTTTTTTTTTTTTTTAAATTACTGACTGTTTGGTGGACATTACAGTTTTGGTGATTTTGTTCGGGGTCAACGTGCAAATTAATATTCATTTTACTAGTTATCTATAATTCAACAAAACTTGAGAAAACGTGTAAAATAATAGTAATAATTGCTTAGAAACTTGGAGTTTCCAGGGTGTGGAGGAGTGTGGGGGTTGACCGCTACCAGGGAACAGCACCGCTCCGGAGCTGAGCACATGACCGGCGGGCAACGGCGGGGAGGGGACGCTCTCCTGCACCGGCTCCTGGACGTCTGAAAAGGTTTGGAAGGAAACCATTATTTTTATTGAAAACACGCCCGACAAGAATTTTCTCAGACACTCCTTGCAATATGACCACTGGAGGAGGAACCGGTCCAGCAAATTCCTCAGCGTTTTTTTTTTTTTTTCACAGAGCAGCTTGAACAAAGTGGAGGAAAAGTCCAGCAGGAGGTTTATCAGAGCAGCACTTGTCTCCTACCTGTTGCGTGTCGGCTCATCTCCAAGTCCTCACTCGTGGCTCATTTTTTCCCCCCACTTTTACGCCTTTTGACTCAAAGCAAACTGCTCTTTCACTGTGTACCGGCGGAACCGAGCCAGAATCCGGCGATTCTACTGCGCTGCTGCCGGACGGGACCACCTGGACGGCGGCTGTTCGCAGCGTCTTTCCGCCATGTTGCGTCCCTTCATCGGTTCTGTGATCCCCGCTGACTGCTGCCTGTTCGGCTCATTTATAAACCACGGAGGGCGGAGAAAACAAGGAGGAGGAGGAGGAGGAGGAGGAGGATGGGCAGAAACTGTGGAGCCGGTCCAATCATCAAGGATGTGTGAAGCCTGAGGGGCAAAGGGGCAGCTCAGTTTGAAGTGACTGGTATTGTTAAAGAGTAAAAAAAAACACAACAGAAATAAAACATTAATCGAACTAATTATTATGAAATTGCTGCAAGAAGACATGAAACTACCACAAAGAGAGACAAAATGTCTGCAAAAACCACAAACATACTCAACATGACATCCAAGAGATGTCAAAGACACACAAAATCACTTCAAATAGACATAAACAAAAACACACCCAAAATGACTTGTAGTTGATGCTAAAAAATGCCTCAAAGACACACAAAATTACTGCAAACAGACAAATACAACTAAAGCATGCCTAAAATGACTTCCAGTAGATGCCAAAAAAGCCCCAGAGACACAAAATGACTGCAAAGACACACAAAAACCACAAACAAATTCAAAATGACATCTAAGAGATGCCAAAAAATGCAGCAAAGAGACACTAAATTACTGCAAAGAGAAAAAAAAACATACCCAAAATGACTTCCAGTAGATGGAAAAATGCCGCTGGGAGACACTAAATTAGAGACACACTGTAACTACAGTGACACAAAATGATGGTGACAAGATGAAACCAAGAGATTTAAATTTTTTTTTAAAAGAAACACCTAATGGCTGTAGAGAGACACAAAACAACAACAAAGAGACAAAAAATGACCACAAAAAGACAAGGCACAGCTACATATGA